GAGAGAGAGAGAGAGAGAGAGAGAGAGAGAGAGAGAGAGAGAGAGAGAGAGAGAGAGAGAAACATGCTTCATTTTATGGGGAGTGTCGCTCCCCAGGGTTGAGATTCAAAACACGTGGACACCATTGTGAGAGGAGGCTGGAGGCGCATTGATTGGAGTTCAGCTGGGGAGATGTTATGGATGGAGATCAGCTTATATCAAGTAAACTTTTTTCCACATCTCGCTCCGGAGGAGGAAAAAATTGATGAAGAAAAGGACGTGGGGCATTCGTCAGCGTGTAATGATGCCGGGTGGCGTTCGTCTATGCATGTCCTTCCTCCCTGCTGTTTGAGAGTCGATTTCTACATATCCACATTGCCCTTGACTGAGGTGTGCATATGTGCATGATTACGAGTCCCCGCTGTACCTTTCCCACTATTCCCTCATAGGTTCGACCTTGGCAGTCCACCATGTCCAGTCTCTGACCAAGCACACATCAGTTTGAATCTCGACTCTTTCTGCGGGTTTTATGGCATTTCAATTCCGTGGAAGGATGCAAGCTTTGTTCAGCTTTAGATTCTTCTCCCTTCCTGGTCACTTTGCTAGGACGCAGGCTATGCGTCGCCCACATCGTCGACTGAGTACAGTTCGTGGCACTGTGGGAGGGCGGTGCGTACTAACCCCTTCAGGTTCAACGGTAGACATCATTGGTAGATGCCATGGCAGACGCCCAATACCTGACCCCTTTTGCTGCAGTTACAAAACATTTCCACAGTAAAATTTCTGGGGAGAGAAGGCGCTCTGACCATCCAGGGCATAATGGTTGGACACTGGAACCTCTTTGGCAAAAGGTTGGCTACCAGGTGCTGCATATACATTCCCAGATAGACGCAAACATGCAGAAGCAGATAAAAAGGACAGTGGAAAAGACAACAGTCACAACCATTACCAAACATACTACATACGATTGGGCACAAGGAATAGAAGATGACATTGTTCAGGAAAATGATGTTGAGGACAGCTGAGCCAAATTCTTTAGCAACTAGAGAGCATGTATGATGCAGTGCATTTGGGAAAAGCTGAGATATATTTGAATCCCCGCTTTGGTAGATACTAGAAAGCTTCCTCCTCTTCTGGACGCATACATACCGTGTCTGCTCCAACAAGATTGACACCAACGCCACCGCTCCGTGTAGAAAGGATGAAAAGAAATATCTGAAACATAATGCATCCAACAACACATATGATGTTACTCAGACTCCTCAAGAGAGTTTTGTACCTTCAGTACAGGTCATTGTCATACAAAACGGCAAACAGTTGTTCAAACAAATCAAAGCAGAGGCTCAAGGAGAGTGTGGAAAACATAGGTGTCCGCGATAGGAGTGCAAATCTGAAATAGTAGATGGACGAACGACATCAGCCTGGACCATCTGAACATCAATTTATCAACCAGGATGAAGGATAATATGATCAGAGAAGCGAATACTTGACAAATGACAGCCCACTCTCTTGAACACAGTGGAGCAAAATACCAAGATGGATGATTGCTAGGAAACCTGCAAAGTGTAACAGGCCATTTTAGCACATTCCTCAGAACACAGGATAGCACCTCAAGCCAAGGGTCAACCATCCTTAATCTTCTATCCGTGCGTCCATTTTATGCACGGACTCCCATTCAGATGTCATTATCCCAACATGCAATCACAACACTATGTGCATTGTACAGACAAAATTCCATTTGCAGCCTCATGAACCTGCTCATGCACGGTATTAAAGATCAACAAGAAGGGCCAGTGCAGCTCCGGCAGCCTCAGAAAGGACTATGGTGGATGATGCAATGACTGGGTGAGAGGGCCAGTGTGGGTGGGAGTATGCAAAATAAAGAAGGAAATTCCAAAATTAAATGTGACATGTGTAGGCCGGGTTGGATGGTTGGAGAAAGTTCTGTGATGTACACAACACTGGAGAAAGTTCTGTGATGTAAATTTAAGCATTAAGGGCAAGCCACAGCAGAAAAAGAACGAGCTGTGACTGCAACTGAGGGAGAAAGTCTCAACTGGAAGGTGCTGAATGAAGCGATGGTAGAGAGAGAGAGAGAGAGAGAGAGAGAGAGAGAGAGAGAGAGAGAGAGAGAG